CAGGCAGGCAGGCAGGCAGGCAACCAAACAAACAAACAAACAAACAAACAAACAAACAAACAAACAAACAAACAAACAAACAAACAAACAAACAAACAAACAAACAAACAAACAAACAAACAAACAACGATAAAGCTTCCAATTTTCTTGTAGCCCCGTCTGGGCCACCGACGTCAGTGTATGTAACTGGGATTGGACCAAGAATATTACAAATATTCTGGCAACCGCCTGAGGCTAAAAAGCAAAATGGCGATATTATCGGCTACCGTCTTTGTGTAAAGGAAAAGCGTTTCTTGTCTCCTTGTCGAAAATACGTCACTACCACGCAGATGATGCACACAGTGGACGAATTGAAACCATACACTGTATATAATATCCATGTTGAAGCCAAGACAGCCCTTGGTTATGGACCTGCACAATATCTAGACCATCGATCTGGGCAAGCAGGTAACCCAAATTATTCTTAAATCTTAATATTTTCATTCAGCCGAAGTAACGAAAGTTTTTGAACTTGCAACTGTGTACATGAACCTTGGGAAATTACAGGGATTATTTAATCTTTATCTTTTTCCCAGCACCGTCAGCTCCACCCAAGGACGTTGCCATCAGATCCGTGAGCTCGGATTCAATTGAGATCGTGTGGGGAGCTCCCGATATAGAAACACAAAATGGCATCATAGTTATGTATGAAGTTACTGTCTATCAAGAAATGTCAGACTCCAAAGTTCAGAAAATTACAAGCTCTTCAATGCGTGCCAACACTACCTTGTGGAAAGTCTACGACCTAAGCTCGCTAACTGATTATATATTTCACATTAAAGCCGGAACTGCGGAAGGATTTGGTCCAGCGGTCATTATTCATAAACGTAGTGACGGTAGGCTAACATATCATTCTTATAATGTCTATTTAAAGGGGAAAACAGCCAAACATTATCTATTTCTGCCCGTTTATATGGTCCGACTTAATCAGGACAATCAATTCATCAATTCCCAGGATTGGATAATGAACATCTCGCGTTTGAAAGTCGATCCGTTTCTGATTTTGGAATTATAAATATTATTTTTTTATGAAAGCCAAATCAACATTTTCAGTCATGTTGCATAAAAAATTGTATGTAACGACTTTTATTATTTGTATGCACAAATAATAATGCACAAAACCTGCTAAAGTTTCAGTGCAATAAACTGGATTTTAATAGGCTAATTGACTATTTTATGAAATCTCGCAGACTCCCATATTAGCCAAACTCATCCGTTTTATCAAATATTTTTCAAAAAAATGTAAAATTCCTGTAGTAAAATTGTAACAAAATTAGTCAGTTGGAATTGGTACATTTAATATGATTGGTCAATTCAAATACAGGAAGTTATGAAGTTTCTAAAGAACTTCCTCAAAATCTTGAAGTATTTATTGATCAATATTTTTCGGAACGCTTCAGGACCTCCTGGCACGACTGTAAGTGGTTTCTAGAAATAATGTTACAAGTATGGCGGTTATGATAAGAGTTAATCTTAGGGTTAGCTGTTTTAGACGAAGGTTATAGTATTGGTATTAGGGTTGCATGGAATTAGGATAAGGATTGAGGTTGTTACTATAGCAATTGACTCGACTTATGGTCACTATCTAGATACTTTATATATATTGGGAGGAATTTTTCTGCCCTACTGATTTTTTTGCGTTGTACCGGTCATATTTATTTGGAGGTCGTATTGCAATTTTGGTACTCGTTGCCTTGAAGTTTATTGTGGACTAAAAGGTGGTTGCCAGACGTGCACGTGGTACTACTACTTGTAGCTCTCAAACGAATTTTTCGTTGTACACTGGAGTGTCAGAATAATATGAAACTAGTTTTTATATGTCTGAAGATGGTTCCGAAATAAAATCACAAGCAATGCTTAGAGGGATTTGACAGGTTTTGGTATTTTTGAGTGAAATGCCGCAATGTGTAGTCCTTTGTAACAAGCTTTATATTAATGTTTGTGGTTTTTAGGTCGCATTGGGCAACCAGACAAATTTTCTGAAGGTACGCAAAAACTCTTTTTTATACGATAAATTTAGACGGTTATGTCGGTGTATATAGGTACTAATTACTTGACAGATAAATATAACGATAAATTGAAGTCTGAAAGTTGTTGAATTATCTCCGTGAAGCCTCATTTCTCTGATATAATCTTCAGTCACTGAGTTTATTTAATCTTATCTTCTATAGCCTTTCTACATATTAAAAGTTTGTTTATAAATAGGTTGACTAACATCTCATAAATCTGAGTTCATGTGATCCCCCTGAACAAAGTTAATCCCAGGGTAGAAATATTTTAATTTGTCTCTTCATAAATAGTCCAACATTATTGCTATTAGCCTCAGGAAATATTATTGGAGGTATAAATTGTAACATTTCTTGACAATTTCAGGAACTAAGCCACTACACACTAGTTGAGTGCAATACAGCTAGAGCCTGCATATTAAAGCAATGGGCATGATTGTTAATTAACATACTGTATACATCCATATCTTATGTTGGTTTAGGTAAACTGACTGCAGGAGGTATTGCTGGTGGATCTATCATGTTGGTTGTGCTAATCACTGGTTTAATACTCAGTATTTTATGGAACAAAGGAATGCTGCCTCATACTAGGTATATACAAGGGGCTGTTAGTAGTGCTGTTAGTAGTGCAGTTAAAGTAGTTAATGCATGTCCTCTGCAACTGATTTCGATTTCTGCCATATGCAGTTGTTTGATTTTAATTTCGCCTCAGCCGCATTGAAGAAGAATGCTTCCAGTTTTTTATACCGAAACCTACAGGGTTCTCCAGGTACTCCAACTTCGTCCTATATATATTTATAGTGCGCCAGAACGAGATAGCTTTATTTAGTCTGTATGGAGAACATATAGACTTTAGATTTGCCCCTATCATGACACTGACACTAATAACGTATCAGATGCCTTAAGCTTTTGAGAAAACAGAATACTTAACAATTAGTCGCCGATGGCGAGGTGATTACAAGCCTATATTCACTGAGCCGAAGGCGAAGTAGTATCATTTCAGTATTGAAAACGTTTTATTTATAAATACAAGCTTGCCCGGTGTGGATATGCACTCAGAGTGACTTATCACAAGCATAATATTCACCTGAGTACATTACACCAACACAGAAAAAAATCAAGTATTACACGTGTTAATATATTCTATGAATATAATTTGCATAAATAATTTACTTCCGTCTGATTTTCAGCCATTTTTTTGAGAAAAGCAATAGTTACTGCTTAGAGCAGTCTGAGCAGTATTAAACTATTGCCTCAGAGTTACTGCTGAAGCCAATCAGAATTCTGATTTAGTGATTGGCTTCAGGAGGGAGCTGAGGGAGCCAATAAATCAGAATTCTCAAAGGCCACTTTTCAATACTGAAATTATACTAAATGTATATAGAACTGACAGACTTATCGATATAAATATATTTAAACTGTGTGTACTGACTGAGCTTCTAATGTGTAAGGCTACTGTGGCAGATGCATTGTTCAACTATGAGACAAGAGGGTGAAGATTTTTGGTCGAAAGTATAATATACTCCGCGGATCTTTTAATTTTTGGCATTCCACACCGGCCATACTAATATTGTTCAGTATTAATATGATGACCGTTGTGTTGTGAAGGTGAATACACTATCCCGAACAACGTCACAATTTGGGTTAGGATATTAAGATTATATTAAATTCGAAGGTTGTCAGTACGGAAATTGACCCAAATTCGTGAGTTAAGTTGTGTTTCCTATATAGAACGAGAAAATTAAAACTTGAATCAGAACAAAAACAAAGACGGAGGAGAAGACGAAAGCGCCGTCGACGGCGAAGAAGGAAGAAAAATAGGTTTGCGTTTGAAACGAATATCATTCTTTAGTTTATATTGAAACTGTAGCGAAATGCATAGGCGTACGGGGCGGGGGGGGGGGCAGATTGTTGGGCAGACTAGGCCATCGGGGCCGTCGGGCAATATTCGCTTCACAGTCGGGCAATATTGGCTTATTATAAAAATAAATAGGCGAAATTCTCTCAATATTAGAGGAAATATGCTATATAATAGTCGAAAATGGTGGAAAAATATAAATATTATAATAAATTATAATACATTCCAATTTGCACGGGAAAATTTTTTTTTGACCAGTCGGGCACAATGGGAAACAGTCTATCAATTTTCTTTCGTGTAATCAACGATCTCAAAACGTTTTGGCAGAGAAAAACAAACTCAGTGGACAGTGATATTATGTTATGCATTATGTTTTGGATGTCGCAGTTATGCTGCATATTTTCTTTTGATTCTCACTAGAAATATCATTCGGCTGGTTTTTTTAAAAAAGAGCGTTTAAAAAACTTTTATTAATTTTCGCGAAATTGTTAATGTTTTATATATGTGTGAAACGTGAAATAGCTGATTCGTAGGCCTCCCCCCCTTATTTTTACCACCCTCAATACTTGAGTTTCACGAAAGATTTAATACTTATTCAACGTAGACTTTTTTGAATTTTCATACTTTGCCCCCTTCCAGATCTCCGCTATACAATGTTGGTATTTAGGTGATATATGTGTTACAAATCTACTTTATCTGAATGCGTAATCAATATTGTTCAGGGGGGCGGGGGAGGGGTAATCAGAACAAAAGGTTAGTTCGATTGAAAAAAATACTCATATTTTACTAAATGTTTTCAAATTTCGACACACGTTCCACTAAGTCTATGGATATACAATAAAAAATGATAAAATCCAAGATTGTAGTCTATAATTAACCAATAGGCGTACGATACAGGGTGGCAAATGCTAGGAGAAATCAAGAAAATTCGGTTATTTCATTACAATCTGGTTATTTCAGTACAATAATCCTTAAAAATTCGGGCAAACTGCCCCCGGAATGCTTTAGCCCCGTACGCCTATGGAAATCGAACGCGACACTGCGATTCTGGCTCTGAAATACACACAGCCCAATTGTTATTTATCTCTCTGGTTTATATATTAGAGGTAATTTTCTGCATATCTACATATTTCAGTGAGCCAGCAGTAACAGCGGTTAAAATACATGCCTCGGATTCTGTATATTCTGAGATGAATGACTATGACGCTCCAAAGCAGAAAGGTATGTGAATTTTTGTTTGAAAAAAATACAAATTAGGCAAGAGTCAAGCGCTATCCCGGACGTAAATCAGGCATGGTATATGGGGTTATAAGGTACATGAAAATATACTGGATCATACCCTCAGAAGGAGGGAACCTGGAAGGAGAAGTCTATCCAACTTCCATCTTGATTTTGTCTCAGAGAAACAGGCTTTTAAAATGTTGACTATACAACGATCAAGTACTTTCTTCTTTTTACGGTTAATTATTCCAACTTGCCACAATTTCTTCAAAGCATCTTGAGACCCCCCCCCCCAGTCATCAGGTGGTCGGCAAAACTTGAGTCCCAGTCGGCAAAACATGGATCAGTTTGGATAAGAAGAAAAAATAAAAATATTTGAGTGACACCGATTAAAAATTAAGAATGATAGCTAAAATGTGGAGAATTGACGAATACATTAGGGATATAAGTGAATTTTGCATTGTTATCAAGGGCAATTTCGCTGAGTCATTAATATTTCTTTTCCCAAAATTGTTAGCGAGCGGGAGGAGGGGAGGGAGAAGTAGCGGCGGCTCAACATCAAAATAAATTTTCCCGGCAACATATTTGCCATCTTATTTTGTGCTTAACCATCATTGTTCGTTTCATTTTTCCCTCCCCCCATTCAAAGAGGTCTAGTGCCACTCGTTTCCCTTACCTAAAATCCTTAACAATTCCTAGTTACGTCTTTATGCATGAGTGATGCATGTGTCTTGGATAAATGATATTTCCTTATACCCGAATACTTTCTAAAAGTTAAATGGCTTTTGTACCAGTATCACCTGTATGCTAACCCTGGCCGGCTTGGTGAATACCTTGAAAATTATACACAAGATGAGTTCGAGTCGCAAATGAGTTGAGCTAATAATTTCTCTTGAGAACTTGTATTTAAATTAGCCCACACGCCCACGTTTCTGACCGTAAACATTTTAAACAGCCCACTTTTCGAAATTTGTCAGCCACTTGATCATGATTCCTCTTGGATGAAACATGCAGGCTGTTGTGGCAACCTGTTGAGGTAAAACAACTAAATTAGTTTCCATATATTAAATGCATTTGCTAACCTGTCTACAATTTTTCGTTGATCTTTAAAGGGAATATTTGCTGTTTTCTTGTTTCCAAAACTTTTGTAGTTTTTGTGCCCCCCCCTGTGATTTTTATCAAGACTGGAATTTTTTTGTAGTGTAATTTAATAGGATTTGGTACTATTAATCGCATATTAAAACACTGTAATTCTAATTGATTTCTATACAATTCTAACTAGAACGAGCCTTGTAATGATTGTATTTTCTTGTTTTAATATGATAAAACTATAAAGTTTAAAGCATCACTTAAAATGCAAGAATTCGTGTTTCAGTGACCCTACAATAAACAAATTCTGATGGTTTATACCTCAACGTCTCCTAGATGCGCCTCCCTTGTTACAGGACTATATCACTGAGTTGAAGCGAGTAATTACAACTTTCGCTGGCGTTTGACCACCAAATTTCATCGACTCTCAAGCATTTTCATTAATTAACTGAAATATTCGGTCTACTTACCGATAATAAATCAATTGTGAAATTGACGAATTTTGGATGATATATAGTAACTGATCTTAAAACGTTTTTAAAAATTTTTTTTTAGTGCAAAATCATATTACAGGTGAAGAACTTTATGGCACTGCTGGTGAGAATATTTACTCTACCGGAAAAACGATACCCCATCCTGAGATATATGCACCCGTTGCAAATGTCGTCGGTCAAGATATTTATGGCACCTCGGTTACTGCCACCATGCAGGATATATACAGTACCGCACCCCCCGGAATGGATATCTACGGTACTGCTCAACAGGTTATCAATGGAAATGCTCTCCAGTCAGGAGGTGATATTAATGGGATACGAAAATCTAATACAATTCTGCCAATTATTCCACGACCATCAGTGTTACCTCCAGTTGTTCCTCTAGAAGCAACTTTGTCGTCTGGTTTTGTTAGACTGTCTTCCACAAGATTAAATGACCCGGATTTCAACTTAGATCCTAAATCTCGTTCCAACACCACTCAAAATCTTTCATCTATTGCCTCTAATGCAACATCTCCCCCCGTACCCCACATGGGTACTGGTATTCAAAGCACCCGAAGTGCTACTTCAACCGCCGTTATCCCGCAACCATCCAAATTCACACCAATTATGTCTACACTAGCACCTGCCATAAAGGTTGATACCGCTTCCTCGAGGGTTAGTTCTAATCCACTATCAAATATGCATAAACCTAATGGCATTGAATCTTTCGGTACACCAAGTACCCGTCATCATTCTACTATGCAGCGTAATTTCATTGACTTGACGTCATCGCATAATCCACAAGAAACACGTCATATAGCTGCTTCTTCTAAACTTATCCCTGAGATCTCACATCAACCATCGATACCTATACCGTCAATCTCAAAGAAAAGGAAATCAACTGTTCCTACTGTTGATTTATGAGTGAGGCTAGAAATATGTATTCTGAACTATCTCCATTCATTCACACAATAATTCATCCCTTTTTCTACTAAAGCGCTTTAGAAATTGGAATAAATGTAGTATTGTATTATCAGGCCCATGCATGCGTGCATGATATATGTAATATACCTTTTTATACGATAAATCGAAATACGTTTAATAATAATGTTTTGTTTCTGCAATTGGTAGCATTTACCTGTTCATATATGTTGCTGTCTTAGTCCCCACATATTTCAAAGCAATAGTAACTGTCCATATTCAAAATGTTGCATTAACAGGGCCCTTTAATTTTGGGCCTCTTTACAGTTTACATACGGGATTGGGACAAATTAACACCGGGAAAGAATAAGAATCTTACAGCATGTCTATAGTGAGTTCATGTATTAATTTAGTTGCTTTGGTGGATTGTTTCCACTGTTGTTTACAGCAGTTTCACGCGATTCGCGACCACCCCACGCAAAAAGGTTGCATAAGAACAATAGTTGTTTTTGAGCTCACTAATTCAATATCAGAAACGTCAAGAACTCATGAACAAAGCTTGCCAAATTTGATCATCACTCACGAATTTTATAATTATACGCGATGACTCATGGATTCAGACTTTGTTCAGTTGTTTACATTTCTGATGATGAATTAGTGACCGCACCTAAATGTCAAAAACAACTTATTAACGTTTTTGCGTGAGGTGGTCAATACACGTATCACGTAAAACTGTTGTAATATCAAGCAGATCAGACCGGTCTGAAAAATATTTTTATCACCACTCAGTAAATCACTAACTTTACCCACCCACTCTGTTGCCGTCTCGATTAGTACATTTTAACCATGCAGTCATGGGAGTAGTCGTATACCCCATACCCATAATACCATCCATGCATGCAAGATATCCATGATATATGACTAATTATTACCAAAATACGCATTCATGCTTAACAGCTGCGCAGGTAGTGGGAGTTTTAAAATAATCGTATAGTACTCTTTTATACCTATATCCACATGGTGTCTGCATGGGCCAATTTCAGGCTAGTGGGCATGCAATAGACTAGTGTTTTGCCTCCAATAAATCAACTAGCGTCCATCTTCATGATTATTGTACATTTCGAAGCCATTTCACGCCATAACTCTTCCTCTTGCTTTATTCTAATATCGTACTACTCACGTTCTTCGATTTCGTAATTCATCTATCTTCTTATTCAAGTAAACATACAACACATGCATAAACTAATTCTACAACTTGTACAAATGCTATTTATACAAGTGGCATTGACTTTCATGGGTTGTGTGGCACAACCAGCTGATCATTTAACACATATATAATAACCACCTGCGACGCAGGCTACTTTGGCATAACATATATTCTACATAATTCTACCCACAATAGTTGACGTTAATAAATACTATTGTTATATTAGTAGATCAGAATTTATGTGTTGTTTTGTTCAGTCAAAATGTAACAATACACGAGTCACAATGGAATTTCCTTAAGCCTGGCGCACACGATGCGATTTTAGTCGGCCGATAAAAATCGTTTGACTAAAACTAACAAAATCGTTGTGTGTGCGGTGTCATTTTTAACCGATTTTTGTTGCTCGATTTGATCGGACAACATCAAAACGTTTTGATATTATACGATTTTTATCGGTGGAATTTTAAGTATAACCAATCAGATTTCATGCTGTGATCACGTGCTTGTATTTATTTGGCAACATGGCGGCTACAGTTCAATCGTGTGCGGAGTATACCGATGTATATCAGTATGTCAAACGATTTCTATCGGCCGACTAAAATCGCATCGTGTGCGCCAGGCTTTATACATGGCAAAACTGAAATCACAATATGAAATTCCCCTATATATGTGGCTAAACAGAAAACAGAGAAATATAAAATACCAAAAACAGGACTTTTTGTGACCAAGTGTATTTAGATAATCAATGAGCCGAAAGCATGCACTACATTTCTCTAGTAAGTTAATTAAAGTTATGACTACATTCCCATCTACTGTCTTTTGCTCGTTTTCTTGTTACTGCAGACCTAAAAAAAGATAATTATATTATGTTAATGCGGCTCTCGGCATTACTTTTATTGTGCCGAAACCCATGGTCTCAGATGTCCAGCATCTTTCTCGGTTTCCCTGCTGATCTCACTATATAAGCACATGCACTTTTGGATTTTTCGAAGCATGGGGGGGTGGGGTGGGGGGGGGGTGGTGGAAGATGAATATTCCATATTGAGTTTTGAAGTAGTGTGAATATGAATATACTGATGGTAGTAGTATGGATATTTGGGGTAGAAATGTAAATATTGATGGTAGGAATATGAATCAGGAATTTTTAAGGTAGAAATTCTTCACTAGAAATATTAAATATTTAGGGATAATATATATGTACAAAATATCCAGCGCAAGACAGCATTGGGTTTTTTCCTGCCATTGACTGTCAGCTAGCTAGCAGTAAGGTAAAGCAATGCCAGACAAATGCTCTTTCAGGTAATCCATGGATAAATCTTCACTAGCTGAATTAATGACTGGTTTTCCGTCTATATAACTTTCGCGTCTGAACGACGGGAAAGTTATACGAGTTTCTTGTCTTAGACGGGAAACTCGCGTCTTAAATTTATGCAGACGAATAAATCAAGACCGGTTTCTGTTCGTAACGTTGAAAAGAGACTGGGATGGAGGGTCTCGTATTTTTTCGGGTTTATCCGTCCGATAGTTTTCGTTTCATATTCATACCAGACGAAAATCCGTCACACGAGTTTCCCGTCTTATAGACGGAAATCCGTCTTCTAATATGAATTCAGCTATATTATTAATTAAACATCCCAAGTGCTTGGAAAACCATTTGGTAATTGTTTTATAAAATAACTACAGTGAAACAATGACATTTTGAGAATCCCGCGAAGGCATTTTAATGTTTCACTGTAGTTATTATATAATGTTCGATGCTGAATTAATATAAACGAGTATGTTTATGACAATCATGCAGTATAGTTCATAATTTCTAGTCTTAAATCCGTCTGACCGTGCAGCTCAGCTAGTTGGTAGAGCGTCGATCTAGTAATGCGAAGGTCCGCGGGTTCAAAATCCAGCCGCGGCAGGCAATATTTTTCTTAAAAATATTTAAATGTTTGCCTCCGCACAAGCAGATTCGAAATCGCGGTTGTGCATAAGGAGCAGTGGCGTAACGCTCATTGGGTAGGGTTAGTTCCAAAACTAAGGGCCCCCGATAGTTAGGGGCCCCCATCACCCACGGCCTATCGCCCAGAAAATTAGAAAATGTAAAAAATGCAGGTTAAGAATCAATGGGAAAATGCAAAATTAATAATGCTAAAGAATTAAGCCTCCATCGACGACGGTAGTTGATTTTTTTATTCCATCTCAAATAAAACAAAAGTTATTCTTATTAGTTGTTACATGTGTTGGAGACTGTTATTGTTATTGTTATAGATACGGAATTTTCCAGAACATTCTATAAATATTCAATATAAATATAATATCTCAGTCAAACAATGACAACAGTCAACAGCTAGGGCCCCCACACCAAATATGCCTAAGGGCCCCCTCTTCCTCCGTTACGGCACTGACAAGGAGCATAAAAATTGACTCTTGTGCCTCTAAGGCATAAAAGTGCTGAACGTAAAATCACTAATCGTGTCCGTAACCAGTTCATTGTGCTGGAGTACTTCTCTTTTAATTTCGCCATTTGCGCATATGCAAACGCTTTCCCGGTTTTGCCAGCCATCTCCTTCCATCGCCTACTCGCCTTGACATAAGTTTAATGAGTTTCTCACTCATTGGTGAGCGGATTTTGCAATTGCAGGCTATTGCATGCCCAATTTATAGGGGATCTGAGCTGAGGTACAGTACGTACCTACGATTTTAACGTTCTTACCCGAGATGTCGCGAAAGTTTAACCATTTACTGTTGTCATTGTAAAGGTAGCACGTTCTCCTCAATTATTTTAAGACCTTGAGTAGAGGTCCGACCAAGGATTGAACCCGGATCTCCCAGCTTGAAAGGCAAGTGAGCAGTGCCGTAACGGAGGAAGAGGGGGCCCTTAGGCATATTTGGTGTGGGGGCCCTAGCTGTTGACTGTTGTCATTGTTTGACTGAGATATTATATTTATATTGAATATTTATAGAATGTTCTGGAAAATTCCGTATCTATAACAATAACAATAACAGTCTCCAACACATGTAACAACTAATAAGAATAACTTTTGTTTTATTTGAGATGGAATAAAAAAATCAACTACCGTCGTCGATGGAGGCTTAATTCTTTAGCATTATTAATTTTGCATTTTCCCATTGATTCTTAACCTGCATTTTTTACATTTTCTAATTTTCTGGGCGATAGGCCGTGGGTGATGGGGGCCCCTAACTATCGGGGGCCCTTAGTTTTGGAACTAACCCTACCCAATGAGCGTTACGCCACTGCAAGTGAGGCGACCACGACACCACAAGTGCTCGATCAAGGGGTTTCGGCGCCCATGCAGGGTGCAGCGCCTAGATTACACAAAAAGTTAATCTACAAACCTTTGACAGCAAGTCTTGCTGTTTTCTCATCAGAATGTTTCTCGCCACCATAATTACTGCTGACTTTGCATTTATACCATCCATCATGTTTTGCCCCAACTGATGTAATAATTAGCATGTGATTGAAATTTTGAAGTTCATAGCCATCTTGACCACCTGTGATTGGAGTCTCCGTACCATTCAACCTTGCAGTGAACGCCCAGGAGTAGTTCGGTGTGGGTCTGGCGGGAATTTAAATCAGTAAATTAAAATTGATAGTACAGAGGTGGGTGTAATTAAATAATAGTCAGCTCCAAAATACGCGATTCTGATTACTGATTGGCAAACTTTTGCACGAACTTAGTTAAGTTTGTTTATAGTGAAACTGGACCTTATATAAACCGTGATGATCTTTACTGGAATTCTGGGAAGAATATAGTTTAGAACCGATATGCCTATATCCAGCTAGTAAAGAACTCATGAAGTTACTTTGTTTCGTGGAAATATCCACTTATTCAGTGGGTGCATGGTACGACGCTCCAAACGTGCTTAGTTAATTTTGAGGAGAATTCGAAAACGAAATGCTAAATGGTGGAGACAAATTAATGATGTTGAGAAAAAGCAAAAAGTCAAATGTGAGAGCTAAGAATTGCTATCTCTTAATTAAATTACAAGCTTCATGCATAATCTAAAGTTTGAATTAACATTCTGGTTATCATAGTTAATTAATAGGAAAGATGTTGCTACCCCTAAACAAAAAAAGCGTTCGATATAACGAACCAAATAGAGAAAAGTAAACAAGTGGTTTCAAAATTTTAATAACACCATTTATATTTTTACTGCTTTTGCAACGAATAAGTAAGCAATGGTTAATTGGAACTTTAGCTGCTTGGTCTCTAGCCTTATGGTTATTTTAAGTAGCTATAGTACCCATTTTATTTAATCATTAATTGTGTAAAATGTTTATATTTTTGTTGTTGTAAAGGATACAAATAAAGGTCATTATTATCAACTTATTTAGTAACCTAATTAAGATTTTTTCAAGATTTGGCATGTTCAATCGAGTTATTGTAGCACGCGGGAAGTTGAGAGAGAACGAAAAAGCGTAAGAATTCTAACTCAAGCGAGTGTTCTCCCAACTTCCCAAGTGTTCAATTATATATAACTCGATTGAGCACGCCAAATCATGAAAAATTCTTCCATAATGCGATTTTATCAAAATACAAGTTTTTTTCACAGTGATGAAAAATATAGTGATGCATGCAAGCAAAATACTAAAACGGCATGCATGGTCGCCAGAAAATCGGCTGATCGGACAAAGGCACAATCGTGTAAATATTGCCAAATGTTTGTACAAAATAAATGACTGTTTTATGTTGAAAATGGACATGATCTAAATTAATCATACAGAATTTTTTAGTGACGTTCTATTTCAGTACCCTGCCATTGTCTCTGGTGGGCTGTCCGTGTGCATTCGATCTGAAACAGTCGCTACTATGCTGTCGAAAAATTTCGAATGTTTACATGAAAATAGAGGCAAGTCATGCATTTTACAACCTCTCAAACTGTATGAGCCCCTATTTTTACGCTTATACCTAAGATATCAAATAAAAGTACATGAAACAGCGAACATTTTTAGAATGTTTTATCGTGAGGCCACGGCCAGTTTTAAAATATCTTTATTTCTGTTCCGGTCATCACCAAAATTACACTAAAACCGGGCTTGAATATACAACAAATTTTGAATCTCATCAAGTACAAAAATATTTAACGTGTAACCAAAATATGCTCACGAAATCGAAATTAATAGCTAAATTTTCAATCTAGACCCTTCTCGAAGCGGTTTTCATGAAGGAAGTTCACATTTCGGCCTTTGATTCCTGGTAAAAATTTGACAACAACACGTGCGAAGCAACTGGGTCTCAAAGACTCAGCTAAAACATTGTGAGCCCCTATTTTCCTGACGATATGTTTGATACCTACAAACACCTAAAAGTTTTTTCTTTTCATTTAGCTATATTTGAAATTGAGGCCACGGGCTATTTTTGAGAAAATACAGTTCAAAGTCAAGCTATTTTTACATATTTTCAAAATTTGTCAAATTTCGCGAGCTTGTATTTTGAACTTAGACAGCTGAAGTTACATTAAGAAACATAGGATGGAAAATGTGAGGCATATAAAGTTAATTTCAACTTACATTTCATTCTCATATCACGTCTTTCTTCGTTTATTACGGTTTTAAACAAGCCACAGATCGACGTATACGGTATTTACTCCCATGTTCACGTCGCCATATTAACTTCTTCCAATCACTCGATTACAAAACAAATGTCCCAAACCAAAGAACTCATAGTCGACTTTTAAAAGAATAACCGTTAATTTGTAAATCGTTGAATGGAAAGCAAAAAATCGTCAGCTAAAACAGCTTCTTGCTAACTTTCTGCTTTGTTTTGAATGTAAATGCAATGAGCTTTGTTTCTGCCCGCGATTTTTTGGTCAGCGACGACAAATTTCCCACCTGTTTTATATATATATATATATATATATATATATATATATATATATATATATATATATATATATATATATATATATATATATATATATATATATATCGCCTTGGTTTTAATTTGTTGCTAGACAATAGAATTATCATTGTGTTGTGTTCTGACTGTTTATGTTTTTCCTACCTGAATTTTTCATTTGTATTGCACTGGTATAACCTATTCTATTCTAACCTTGTGATAGTATTATAATGGGCTTTCTGTATATTATATTATATTATATTATATCGCGCGTTTACGAAGCGCAGAAAATTTATCATTTTCAAAATATTTTTACTAGTTCTAAAAATTGTAAGTTAATTAAAACTGTAAAGTAACAAAGACTAACTTACAGACCAATGGCTCCACACCGAAAGATAACAAACTTTGTGCCTTTCGCTACTTCTCGATCTTCTAATTCTGTCTTGATGGTTGGTCCGAAAGGTTTCACGTTTCTCTCTAAAGAAATTATAATAAGCAAGGATTGGTTGACAATATGTAAAAAGCGATAACAATATTTACAACAGAAAATGTGACATTCAGCAAGTTCGAAAACATTGGTACCGTGAATATTAAAAACAATGACACGTCTTTTTTCCCAATTTCAAGATTACTAATTTTTAACCAACCATCATTACAAATATTCAGGGGCGTTTTCTTCGGGTAGGTTGCGAACCATTTGGAGTAAGGGAGTGAAGTGTCAAATGATTTTTATTACCTCAATTGGAACTTGAATGTTAAAAATTTACCTGTTATACCTTCAATATTTTCATTATCGTTGCAATACTAATATAACATCTCTACTTTCGTAGAAGACAGGTGGGTGCTCCCCCAGTAATTTCTGAAGCTCGATTACTGCATTTCAGTTTTTGTAGAATTTTTGGAGAGAATTTGCTGAAGAATATATTGCGGCGTATTTACTATCGTAATTAAGACTGAACTAAATAGACTAAATACACAATTTCCCATTTCCCTGCATACAACGTAAAGATAAAATATATATCGCGATTCTTTATGCAATTGAAATACGTTTGCAAGTATCAACATACACGGTTGTTGTACTGACACTTCTCACAAAACTATTTCATGGCATGCTTGCAGCCTGGTTCCCAGGCTTTATCGCTCTGTTAAACCAAATCTGGGCCCAAGAACGCAAACGCAAGCGATAAAAGCCTGGACAAAAACCGTAAAAGGTATCCCAGTTTGGGACACTTCAAGATGGGGTTAAGCCATGTTAAAGATCCATGTTAATAGACCTTTCCGGTAATTACGTCACAACTAAATTGTTTTCAACTTAGAACCACCATTCCATTTTCTTTAACACATGCATGATAATATTATTTTGACCAATAAATACGGGAATAAGCTTTAACACGAAAACGAGGCTGAGGGGCCCAAAGGGGCCATGGCCCCTCAGTCTCGTTTTCGTGTTTAAGCTTATTTCCACATTTATTGGTCAAAATCCAAAATTGTTTCTATGCATGTGCATGTTGACGAAGGATGTTCTGCTTCTCTGACCACAGCCTGTGAAGAACAAACTTGGAATCTATTCCATTTAAGGTGGTCTTAAGTTGAAAATAGTGTTACTGTCGTGACGTAATTACCGGAAAGGTCTATTATGCATATGTACCTCATCGTTGAACACGAGAAAATTTAAATGGTGCATGTTTAAAAAATAATTTTAATTGGCCCATGTTTCAATAGTGTTATTTGTTTTGTCTAGACCGGTTTTTGGCCAGGTATAAGCATGGGATAGAACTACCAAAAAAATACAAGAACTTCAAGTTTGTATCCCTATCAATCCGCAGCTTTAGAAGTATATTGGCACTAGCTACCTACACCAGAAGAGATTACTCATGGTGACAAGCATGTTTTTTAATTTCAGCGCCAGGCCCTCAAAGCCCACGTCCAAATATATCGACTGGATACCAGTGAGGTAGGCATGATTAACTTGAAACAAACTTTCCGTACCTCCAACTTCACGTAGTAAAAACCTCTGTGAAAACGCCAGACGTCTGTTCTTCCCTTTCGACTCAATACTGCAGCTAACGCCATTTTTCACGACATTAAAATACTGCAAGTCTTGTCTTTTTACATTGGCGAACAGGAGTGTCCCATCCTCCATAATCATGTAATGTTTTGCCGGTGGGATGAACCATACCCCTAGTGTTCCTTGTCGGCCGCCCCAGTGGTAAAACACGTTGCGGGACAAGGTGCGAGGGGGGCAGGTTAGGGTTAGGTTTTCTCCTACTGTAACGGTTGTCTCCTCCACTACGTTGTCATTCTTGAAAAATTTACCCACAACTATAACATAGAAGTGCAAGTCTGAGCGGGAAAATCAAAATCGATCGCCATATGTTATGGTGGCGTTCATTCAAATAGCACAATGGTTAATTAAGGTGTTTGCCTTTCACCTTCGGAGTTCGGATTCTCGTAGTATGCGTGATTCACATTTTACATGTGAACTGGGCTGTAAATTGTGGCTTTCAATGCCTTACAAGATCTCAAGGGAGAAGAGTGTAAAATAGAGACTTTTTGGAAAACCATTTTTGTAATATATCCGGTTTAGTTGGCCCATATATCTTACTCATGCAGTAAAGGTTTATTATCCCGGCAAAAAATTTCACTAACCGTCTAATTATTTATACTAAATAACTTTTTTAGTTCTAAACTTGTACAAGATAACTTTCTTAGTTCTATAAAACCGTTCTCCCTTAGTGGTCAAGTGTTATCACAAGTGGAAACAGCATGGAGTACGCGGAAAAACTTGAATGAATAACACTCTTCTGGCATTCTGAAATTATAATGGTCGCACTGATCGCTGTAAGACCGACGACACCTAAAGCAGCATACCGAATAAATTTAATCAAATTTATTAATTGACGTACGTGTAAAATAGACATTAATTTTTGGTCCCCACAGAGTTCCATTATCATTCGAAGCCTTGCATTGATATGTTCCCTGAAACGTGTCAGTCACTGGCCTTTCCATGACGTAAATACGGTTTCCAATCATAATAAAGATAGATGAGTGCCGTGTGATCTTACTGCCGTTGTGAAACCACTCATAAGTTGTGCCACCTTCAATGTTACATTTCAGTGATTTGAAGTGGTCGGCAAAACCCGTAAAGTCAACTTGTCGCTCGCCACTAAGCTTTGGTGGGGCAGCTGTGAGGGAAAGAATGCATTAAAATCGATGTCCTCAATTCTTAGATTTTTCTTTCCTGGTTGTTCTATTTCTCACTTTTCTTTGTCTTTCTTATCATCCTCCTGTATATATTCTCTTTTCATCTCCCATCCTTCTATTTATTGTATTTCTGTTTATCATCTTTCAGTGTATCATTCTTCTGTCTATCAACCGGCTTTTTTATCATATTTCTGTCTATCATTTTTTTGTCTGTCATCTTTCTGTCTATCATCCTTCAGACAATCATCTTTCAGACAATCATTCTTCATTCATCTATCCGTCATCTTTCAGTTTTTAAATAAACAACGATTTATTAAAGATTTAATAACAAATAAAGATTTATCACAAATACCTTGTATGATTGCCAAGAAAGCGAAAAATGTAATTACTCCAACTGCTGACATCCTTTGTTACCTTAAAATTATCAAGTTAATTTGTTATTCATTTGAATTCTAGCGACGTGTTAGCTAACCTACACTTAATGCAATAAACATCTCAATATCAATACTGCGTGCATTGTAAGCGTGAACAACAAACTTTACGTCAGGAAATAGTTGTCAGATTTATTTTATACAGGATGATTGATATATATGCATGCATGTCTTATAAATTGAGCTAGATTGCCCTGGCCATAGTGAAAATGCATATTCCATATTCTCCATAATCTGTTGAGGGATGTGCTCTGGTAAGTTACGGGCAAATTGCTTTCTCTCAGAATCGCTTCTTCTGACTCAGCATGGTTGTAGTTTACAATTACAACTATATGCCATCGCGCAACTAGGAAACGTAGCTACGTCTGTGACTGTGTTGGTCAATGATAAGATAGAATGAACGACCTGATTTATCACACTATCAACAGGTTTTGTGGGCAAACTTGACTAACTTGGCCAAAGACATGATAGTTCGTCTGATCATTCTTCTTCACATCAATGCGGCAAGCAGATGGTTTACTCTGTCAAATCGAAGTATCGCTGCCCATGCAGTTCCTTATGATCTATCTATGTTTAAAAATACGTCGTTGCACGAACTATAAGTAAAATCTCATGCATGCATCATTCCCACAACAACAGTTGCTCAGATCCCGCTAATCTGGCTAGTTTGTATGGACATATTGTTGAACGTGAGGCGGATGACATGATCCGTCAGAGGGAAATGCGTCTTGACCGATTTTCCGATGGCCAACATATTTTGGCAAAATAATGTTGGATTGTTATCATGATTATTAACCTATATTAATTGTATTCTCCATAGTTCTTTCCAAACTATACATACAGTATTCCCAGACCAGCGCCCTAAACTTTTGTTAGAAATGACAGACCTTATACGGGTTGGTTAACTGTATAGGTCCCTCTATATACATACATACATACATACATGCATACAAACGTTATTTAATCATGCACGCTAGCCTCAACAGCCGTTGGGGGGCTGATTTCCATGAGGGGCGTGAAATATAAAATTAACTATTTACAAGGAATACAAAATATGTCAAGAAAATACAATGATTTTTAATCACACACAAGCACGTTTCAACTCATTCTTTGTTTTAATATTGATTTGAAAGAGCTTAAGGATTCAGCAATATTTGCCTCACCATTATAACTGAAGCACCTCTTGCTGAATTCTTTTTTCGGCATAGGTGGTGCTAAATCAGTATCCCTATTTCTGAGATTAAATGTATTTCATTATTAAATTGAAATGCTTCTTTAAGATGCTTCTTAGCAGTACCCTACGCGATTGATATAAAATACATGCATTCCACGCAGTGATTGGATAGGTAACATAGGAATAGCAGCAAAAATACCGCTAACCCTATTTATGCATGGTTTGCATTGATTTAGGTTTGGTCTATAGATTAATTCTGTTCGAATAAAGTTTTTAATTGTTCACTGTGAAAATTTGGACACGTGTAATATCTAATTGTATTTGGGCTGAAAAAAAATCAAGTTTTACAGTTGCATGAAAGTTTCTGAATGTCTGCATGTGTGTGCACCAATTCAAGAAAAGCTCTACATCAGTTTCGTGTACACAAATTAAGCGGAAACTTTTAAATTCTATAGGCCACAATAATTAGGTCACCATTATTTTCCCATCAAAGTGGCCAAGTAAAATATATTTGAAACCAATGAACTTAATATAGCTTTGAAACATAAATCCACATATTAGTCTTCAAAACGTACCCAAATTCTTTGTTTTACAGAAATCCTTTTCAAGACTCCAATGGATGCTGTATAGCGTTCAGCGGCCAAACTGAAAATGATTTCAAGCGAAGTGAGCTGCAATTTTTACGCTTTGTTTAGCAGCGGCGAAGTCACTAACAAAAGTTGTAGCAAGGACTCAGGGACGCCGGAATGACTCAGGAATTAAGGTTGCAAGTACCCCCACCGACCCTCCCCCTCTTTCTGGCGTCCATGACTAAGCTAGGTCAAGCCGCATTTTTCTTATTCAACTTTAACATGCAGACAGCATTAATATGTATACATAGGGATTGAATAATGTACTTGACTAAGCCCGGAACGTCTGATGTGTGATGGACCAAATTAATGAGTCGAACATGCGGTACACTTACTTGAAAATGTCATCTTTGGTTTCCGTTAGTTCAACAACAGTATGCTACAATATTTGGACGCCAATATCAGGACCTATATTTGGTTCTACAGGATATACGTTTGGTCGCAGCTGCCATGTGAATAGATGACAACAAAATCAACCTTATTTCAAAATTGCAAACTATTGATTTTTTACGTAATGAGTCAAGTACCAGTCAGTAGACCAAGTTGTGAGGTCAGTTTAAATACTGGCTACAGTGAACATAATTTATGTTCTCGTATTTATTCTTTGTATACACACGACAATAATACATGCATGTACTCTGAGATATTAATGAGGAAATCAAGTAAAAGTCCGAAGCTCCATGTCCATAACTAAAATATATCATTCTGATTGGCTGATTACGAGATCCGTATCACACAAGTGTGGAACAATCCGGTTTAGCGCCAAAATAAACAGACTATGAAAAATGTTTAACATCAAACGGTATACAAGAGTTGAAAGTAACTAATTGATATACTTCGTAATATAAACAGCGCGATTTTATATAACAAGCATCTGATGCGTGAAACCATACACAATGGGTATATATTATGTTTGTGATGTTACTCTGAGTGCATATCCACACCGGGCGAGCTTGAAAAATATGCCCGGCCACGGTGGGATTCGAACCTACGACCTTTGGAATACTAGCCCAATATATTGTTTAACACAATTTCGTTGGTAGGGATGCAACTACCTGAAAATTATAAAGATAATTTCGACATTTCCATTCAACTGGAGTTACTAGTGGGGTGTAGGGAAAATTACATGAGCTTTTATACTAGGAATATAAAAGCATCACGTGACAAAAATAAACCAATCAGATGCAGGGGTGGATTTATAGGGGGGTGCGCACCCCTGTTAGCCTTGGTCAACAGGGATGCAAAAAAATCAAATTCAGAAATATGGGGTAATTTCCAAGGTTTTCACTTTTTTGAAATCAAACTGAAGCTCATAATTCAATGCCCATATTGCAGGAAATGGTATTTCTAGGGTTCTAATTTTCAAAATTTTCCGGGGGGGGCATAGCCCTGGGGAGCTTGTGCCTTCGGCACTCGAGTCATTAGGAAGCCAATTCATTTGAATGCTCATCCTCTAAAGAATTATAAAGAAACACTCAGCTACTCACCCAGCACCCCCTTAGAAAAACCTTGCTGGATCCACCCCTGATCAGATGGATTTAGTTAAAACAAAGTAAACAAAAAATGTAAATCACATTACAGAATATATAAATAAGTATGGAATATAAAGTTAAGAATTAAAAGTTTAAAGTACTATTAATGTATGCTTTTGACAGGCAAAGTCAGAGAGAGAGTTAAACAGAGGAAAACGTTCATTAATGCCATTGGGGTGGACAGTGCCAAGTTTATAGAAATGAGGCGCATTTCAAGTCTTTTGCGGCTATCATTGCCACAGGAGGCCCAGGCTCGATTTGCCCGCGCCCGCCTGTGCCTTCCTTATAACGAGGGAAGGAAGGAAACATTGAGACCAAAATAGCCCAGACTTGGCATATGTCACACGAAACTATCCTCGATTATTCGCCTTTAATGCATTCCTTTCACGATTAATCGACATCCCCTGCAAGGATGATACCGTATAACTCTCAAAACAACGATGCTTTAATATAATATTCTTTATATTTTTAGTTAGTAACATTCAGCATAGAATAATTTTAGTGTAATTATGTTTTGTGATGCGCATTTGATCATATACTATAACATGTTAATTTGCGCAATATAAATATTAAATATTATTATTATTAATTCGCTCTGAAATCCGTGAGGGAATAACAAAATTCGGCCAAAATATATCTGCGTGCCAGGTTTGCTGGACAAAAAGCGGAAGTCGTTGAACAACTCAAAATACACTCAACCCTGATTGGACGATGATGTATTTCACATTGTGTTTGTTAAAACAATTTGAAATGTTTGTTGATATTCGTCGTCCAATCAGGGTTGAGTGTATTTTGAGTTGTTCAACGACTTCCGCTTTTTGTCCAGCAAACCCGGCACGCGGATATATTTTGGCCGAATTTTGTTATTCCCTCACGGATTTCAGAGCGAATTTAAGCTCTTTGATTAAAGCATCGTTGTTTTGAGAGTTATACGGTATCATTCTTGCAGGGGATGTCGATTAATCGTGAAAGGAATGCATTAAGGGCAAATAATCGAGAATAGTTTCGTGTGACATATGCCAAGTCTGGGCTATTTTGGTCTCAATGTTTTCTTCCTTCCCTCGTTATAAGGAAGGCACAGGCGGGCGCGGGCAAATCGAGCCTGGGCCTGCTGTGTCATTGCTACCAGAAATGGGACAGAGAGCATCAGAAACATTGTGATTTCCAGTATTAAAATGTCTGGCAACAAGCTGGTTAGCATCATTGCCAATGACTGCATGCTGATGCTCACCAAACCTTGTTCTCAAATATCTTCCAGTTTCCCAATATAAAACATGCACACTTTGATGCACACTTTGATGCACAAAGATCTTCCATATTTTGATGCACAAAGATGATGCATAAAGATCTTCCAGTTTCCCCCATTATAAAGCATGTGCACTGCAGCTTTGCACAGGAGATCTAAAGTGGCTTACTAGACTGGGTACTGCCTAAAAAGGCTGATACAAATAGCTATTCCTGTTTCAAAACATGAGTAATATGACTGTCAATTTCATCTACCATGCTTACGTTGCTTGGTGATTCTGCTTGAGGATTGTTAATTTTTTTCTCCCTAAAGGATAATCCATATCTGTGTTGAAATTTTTGTAGCCAGCCAGCACTTGCAAAAAACTGTCCCTTTTTAGTTTCATCATCACACATTTCATCGTACAGTATCCTCGCCTTTTCCATGACTGATCTACGTGAGACTAGTAAGCCACTGGATTTTTGTTCTTTGTACCAACGTACTAGTTCTTCTTCCATGGCTTGGTGTGCTACTTTCCTGCCAGCACCTTTAAGCCTATGTTTTTCTATTCCTTTCTCACAAGCTTCGATGATTAATTCTTTATTTTGTCGCCACTCGCGAATTCTCTTACCGTCTACTTTAAATTTCTTCGCAGCACACCGGTTGGTCGTCTTCTCGGCGAAAGCAATCGCGTCTCTTTTAAATGACATTAAAAAACTTCGATTCTTTCGGCTAACATTTCCATGTACAACCTCAATTAACTGGATAAGTTCATTCTTCGGCTCTTCTTGTTCACAATTTGACTCAAGCGTTAGTGCGGATGAATCCTGAAATTCTATTGTTGATTCCGCCATATTTGAATTTGATCGATATCGAATTTATCTAAAAACTTTATGTAACGAAGAATGAAATGGCGTGCCATCGATGTTCTATGGAACGAGGTTGTAACCTAGCCTGCTCGCAGGCCGTTGTCAGGCAGAGGCTGGGAGGAGGTACGGCCTGCGACCTTTATTAGTAAAAAGTCGATTTATGCGTACGGAGCATACGCAAAATTCCCATTGGTCAGAAGTGCCCCATGAGTTCGCAATGTAATTTTAAAGCTGGCATTCAATCAGTGGCGTATATAAAACCATGACTATAGCCCCGTTTACACTACGCTCAATTTTTGGTACGGCACGGATAAAATTGGTACCCGTACCATTTTTTTGGTTCTTGGTCCAAGAACCAAAAAGTGGTACGGTACCAAAAATTGAGCGTAGTGTAAACGGTGCTTAGCTAAATAGGTTGTCCAAGAACCAAAAAAGTGGTACGGGTACCAATTTTATCCGTGCCGTACCAAAAATTGAGCGTAGTGTAAACAGGGCCCGCGGAGCGTATTAGAGAGTGGGGGGGCTAAATCATCAATAAAACCCCCAAGGAAAATGTTCAATTTTCTATTACCTTAAACGCTATTTCCTGCATTTTTGGAGGAACTTTAGCAAAAAATCTCCAAGACCATCATCATAAAAAGTAACAAAATTTAGACCTTTTTGATGTAAGGTACACATAATGGGGTGCTTAGCCTTTATTCATTTTAATTAGATGCGAAAGTTAAAAATGCCTAGAAAAGGTTTAATTCATTTAGAAAGTTTCATTTAGATTTCTATTTTAATAATTTTGGCTGTCAAAAAAAGTGGGGGGCTAAAGCCCCCCAGCCCCCCCGTCTCCGCGGTCCCTGGTAAACGGGGCTTTTGTTTATCTCTTCGAAGAAGTAACTGAATGTATTTGAAAAACTTTCAATTTAAATTAACGTTGAAGGATGAGCGAAGGTTAGCATTGTACTTCCAACGGGATTTCATAAAAGTTTAATATATATACCAATACTTTGTCTTCGTCAGCTATATAAAACCTTTTCCAAAGAAGTACAAGGGAAAACTTCGACGTATGCCTTGCTGCTCTTTGCCAGGAGAGAGTAAAATAAGTCTAGTTCAGGCTGACAATTTATCTAGTAACCGCGTTTGCATCACTTGCGGCAGAAATCTTCGAGACTTTTGTGTGTGTTTTCAAACGACGTTGAACAACTTAGCCAAGCGAGACGTTCGTTGAGACACAGGCAGTGAATCAGCTAGTATAAAGCAGTTGATTGTCAAATGCCTCCGAACATTTCTCCCAAATACTTCCCTGTCAACCCAAGGCTTTCTGCCTCAACAATCTGGTCTTGAATATTAAAGCCAAGACAATGGGCAAATTATTAAAACAGACGCCGTCGAGGAAAGTCGTTCTTAGAACAACCGGCCAATTTGAATCAATTTACACCTGGAAATTCTGCAATAGTCGTTTGCGTGTTCTTTGACCGAAGTCCGCTCTCTCTTTGAGACTTTCTTTTTGGGAGTCTCAACTAATGACATATATTATTACAACAAGAGCTTTTTACAGAAAAAATGTAGTTATTAAACACGGCAGAATCGATGCCGCGGCCACGGGTTTTCAAATTGTCTGTTGTCTATTGAGTTAATTGTATTATTGAGCAAATGACAGACTTCACGCAATAATGATTAATGTTGTTTTTTAGCCTGCTCGCAGGCTCTATATGATAGCATCGCCAACTATTGCGGTCTTATGTCAATCCTGCTATCCAGCGGAAGCTCCCTGAAATGCGTAACGTGCAATGTCAACCTCGTCCCCAGGGCCTTCCTCGTGGTGGCGCGTGAGCTGAGGAAGACCC